GGCCGCGTGACCGCAAAAAAAAAAAAAAAGAAGAAGAAAGGGCTCAAAAGAAACTAACTGTTGACATCTTGATCTCAAACTTCTAGCCTTCAGAATTGTGACAAAATAAATTTCTGTTGTTTAAACCACCCATTCTGTGGTGTTTTCTTGTGGCAGTCCTAAGAAACTAACACACCCATTATATTGGGTTCCTTGTTACCCATTATCAATAATCTCTATACTTACTTCCATCACTATAGTTTGTTGCTTGTTCTATCTTCATAGAAATATGATCATACACTGTGTGTGTGTGTGTGTGTGTGTGTGTGTGTGTGTCTTCTTGTGCTCACGATTATGTTTGTGAGATTCATCACTTTCTTTGCTATAAAAATACAGTTGATCCTTGAACAACACAGGTTTGAACTCCATGAGTCCACTTACATGTAGATTTTTTTCATGAGTCCACTTACATGTAGATTTTTTTCATGAGTCCACTTACATGTAGATTTTTTTCAACAAATACATTCTACAGTACTACACGATCCAGGGTTGGTTGAATCCATGGATGCTGAACTGCGGATACCAAGGGCTGACTATAAAGTTATATGCACATTTTTGACTGTGCAGAAGTTCAGCATCCCTAATCCCCATGTTGTTAAGGTTAAACTGTATTCTACTGAGTATTAACCCATTCTACTGTTTGTTAACTTTTGGGTTGTTTCCAATCTGAACTTGTTATGAATAATACTACTACAAAATTCTTGAACACATCTCTTGGTGTTTATGTGCATATGTTTCTGTTGGGTATGTATCAAAGAGTAGAACTGCTGGGTTATAGGGTATGTATACATTCAATTTTGGTAGATAATGTCAAATAGTGGGAGGGAGGGAGACAAAGAAGGAAGAGATATGGGAACATATGTATATGTATAACTGATTCACTCTGTTATAAAGCAGAAACTAACACACCATTGTAAAGCAATTATACCCCAATAAAGATGTTAAAAAATAAAAAAATAATAATAATAAATTAGGCTGTGCCCCTCTTTTCCTTGTTACTTAATCACATTACCTTTGTTTGGTTCCTTCACAACACTATCTCCACAATCTTCAATTATTGTTTTTTTTAAATTAATTGATTGATTTATCTATGTATTATCTGTTCCCCACTGAATTAACATGCAAGATTTGCTTCTTACATAAATAAATATGTGTTGAATTAATTAAAATATGTTATGTTTATGCCCTGCTCCCTACAATATGTTGAATAAATTAAACATGAACAACCCTACGTGCTAGCTTTCATTACCCTATTGATGAAGTAATTGAAGGCTAGTGAGGTGAAGGGTCAGGCTTAGGGTCAGAAAGCTGATAAGTGATCATTGGAGTTTGAACCTAGACTCCATGTTAGAAAGCTACGCTAAAAATGCTATTCTATTTATAAAAGAGGGATATTCAATAGAGTTGGGAGTAGAAGGAAAAGCTGCATAAAGGAGCAAGGATTTTGAAGAATTGGTACAATTTTAACATGCAAAGATGGAAAAGAAGCGTTTTAGTCAGAGGAATTACATGGGCAAATATATGGAGGCTGTTAGTACATAGTGGGCTTGGAGAACAATGTGTACAGTAAGTTGGTTGGAGCATAGAGCATTAGGAAGGGAGAACTGAGAAAATACTGGCAAGAGAGGTGAGGGCAGGTTTATCAGAGGCTGAGAAGCCTTTAAATAACATCAGACTGAGAAATTCAGGCTTAATTTTATAGACTGTGAGGGGACAGGATTTCTAAGCAGGAAAATGACACAAATGATATTAATTGTGAGTTCAAGATGACCATTTGTATAAAAATAAGATTCATAATAATAATTATTGTGAATTATATGTTCACTATGTAATATAATAAATATTGTTCTAAGTATGAACATGTATCATTTTACTCATAATAATCCTATGAGATAGGCTTTCTTATTTTCCTATATTTTATAGATAAGGCATTGAGAATCCAAAGAGACTGAAAACTTTGCCGAGATCACATGGCTTGAAAGTCGCAGAGCCAGTACTCTGATGTCAAAACTCATGTTCTGACCAGTATTCCTTACCCTAAGTATGACTAACAGTTCCTGCTACATCTGGAACTTTGACAGGTAAACATTAGTTTCCCTAACTGAACGTCACAGAAACTAAAATGAAGATTGGCCTGAAGTGGAATCATACCATCTGACTTGCTTCTTTGCCTTAAAATTTGATGACTCTTGCTGCTCAAGAACTCTTATTTATTTAATTAACATTAATTAAGCATTGACTACTGCATGGTAATAAGACAAAGTCTCTGACCTCATTGGGCTTATACTCCAGTGGAATTTTAATAGTCATTTATTTACCCATTACTTTACTCATTGATTTACTGATCCATTAAAATATGGACAAGTGATTTTTTCTATGTGATTAGTTCTATGCTTCTTAGAATTAGTTATGTTAAAATTAGGGAGCAAGTATGTGAAGCAGCACTTAACATAAAAATGTCCTAATAATAAACAAACTATATTTGAAGCACAATTTTCACCTGAAATCCTGCTTTAATTCCACTGCAGATGGAAGTTCCTCCACTAGCAACTGCAGGTAAACTCTCCAAGAGCTTTCTTCTTTCATTGCTGCTTATTATTTGGATTAGATTACTTCTGATGTAGGTAGTACTGTCAAAGTGCACCATCCCCACCCAGGATCCATTTTCAACGGTCTGAAGCAGGAAATGTTTTGCTGCTTGATTCATTCGATCTAGGCGATTAGAATCCTGAATAAAAAAGGTTAGGAAAAGCAACCAAGTAATTTTTGACTGGAAAATAATAGCAGATCACATAAAATGAGTAAATAGAATTTGTTTTTAAAGATTTTATGTCAATAGTAGTTGATGTTATTAAAGAAAACATTTTTTCAATTGATAAAATTAAAAAATACAGTTTTATTATGTAATACATATGTATAGTATAGCAAGGAACCCAGTCTTTTAACCAGAGCTGATTCTTGGCTTCTAAGAACCTAAATTAGAGGTGTAGAGTAGGGTGGGCATTGGGCTGGAACTGGGGGGGTGATGACATCTTAGAGACTGCTTAATTACTCCTGGGATCCTCTATTCCAGTTGTATCAAGATGAAACTCCTCCCCAGGTCCCACAGTTTCAAACCAGACTATCATGGACTCCAGCTAGAAACTGAAATCTCTCCATCCACTGGCCACCAGACTACCCAAAAGATGAAACTTACTCTAAATTCTGAGAGACTCCATTCCTACCCCACCCATTTCCTCTTCTGCTCCTAACCTCTCCCCACCACATTTCCACTAGGGATTAACTGGAATTGGTTCTTTGGTAACCAGTTAGGACTCATATCCTTATTTCCTAGGTGAATACCCAGGATATATACCTTTCCATGCGTTTGTCTTTTTTCAGTCCCTCAATACCAATTGACCTGTGGTACTTCTTCCTAACACATGCCCAAATTTCCCTCTGAACTCCCCGGAACCAAATCATGGTGAAGAACTTTTTCTACATCCCCATCTTAGCAGGTTTTCTCTACCACTTTGCTTTACCTTTAAACGTGGCTCTGCCTGCACCCTGTCTAGGGGAGGCTGCTTATCTTCCAATTAAGAGCCTCATCTCTCCCCAGCGACACTTCCTAGAACACTTCTGTGTGGTGGTATCTACCACTCTGATGCTCTTTCAGAAATCCTGTGCTATTGTGGATTATTTCACCCAGCTGTATCATCCTCTGCCCTTTCCACTACCACCCAACCCCCATTTGTTGAATACATTATTCCTCATCTTCAGCATGCTCTGTTCTGCCTCAAATGTGCCATCCTTCTGGGTACCTTATCACATTACATCTGCTCATTTGTAGTCCATTCATTTCAACAATTATTTATTGAGTGCCTACATGTGATAAACCCTATTCTAGACAAAAGGGATACAAAGATGAATAAGACTGCTTCAAGTCCTAGGGAGCCTGGTTCCTAGAGAACATGATTTCAAGCCCTAGAGGAGTTCACAGTATAGTAGGAGAGAAATGTGTAATTTCAATATAATATATAGTAAAAGAGGCTTTGTACAAGTCATTGTGGAAGATCTGCTGAAGGGCCCTTAGCCCAGCCTGGAAGACCAGCCCATGTCCTAGACAAAGTGGGTACCTACATCAAATTTTGAAGGGTAAGGTAAGTATGAGTTAACTCATGATGAGGAAGAGAGAGAATTTTGTCTCTTCAACTATGAACTGTTCAAGGATATGGATCTCTATTCCTAAAGCCTAGTACCATTCACTTAATGAGGGTAGAAGGAACGAATGGCTGAATCTGGTCCTGTCTTCTTTATGGTGATGCTTTTTGTCTGTGTCTTTGAGCATAAGGAGGTCATTCATATAGGTGATGCAAATAAGATAAAGCCATGTTAAGAATTCTCCTGGTTGATCTTTCACTTTCTCCTCATGCCTGTCAAGTATTTACAGTAGATAGAGGGAGCAAGGTTAGGAAACTTTTACATATTTCAGTCTCTAGTTCTGATCTTCTAACCAAAGCTTTACTAAAGGACCTAAAAGTCCTCCTCCATAAACTCTCCATTTTCTGGAAAAAAAACAGAGATTCTTGGATTAGGTCCTTCTAACTCTATTGCCATCCTTCTCTTTCATTATAATGTTCATTGCCCCTCTTGAGGTCAAGATCACAGGAAGTGATGGTACTTATGCCACCATGCAGTTTAGAAAAATCCAGGTGCAGGTAGCAGTCAGAGTGTTCTTAAGCATTCAGTCACTGCCCTGTCCCTACATCCAGGAAAAATGGGTGCATGAACTTACAGCCATGCTTCCAGACTTATCAAGGACTAAGCACACAATTCTTTCACTGATCTTTAGCAATGAGAAGACAGGTGGAGGGGGTGGTGCCACCATAACCACTGTGTTTCTAAAATCCTCAGAATTGCTGATCACCTCCCATGTGCTTCTGAAATTGCACATTTTGTTTTGTAGGCTTGGAGCTTCACGGTTATGGGTTTTTTTATTACAGAATTCAGCGACCTAAAAGGTTAACAAAATGAAAAGAAATTTTATATATGATGCATTTTTTTATATGATGCATTTAAAAACTCAACTACAAATCTGAAAAGTATTAAAAACCTCTTCTCTAAAAATGTTGTTTATTGAATGAAATATGATTCAGGGAGGAAACATATAATAGTAAGGCAGATTTTCAATAATAATAATAATAATAATAGGTGACACTAGATGAGTGCTTACTATGTGCCAGCCAATGTTCGAAGAACTCTATAATAATACATCTAATCCCTGAACAGATATTTTATAAACATGATAACAAGTCCTCTGATTATAAATATACAGTCTGAAGTAATGATTGGTATACTTACAGAATCAATACCTTGCATAAACATTATGGATGTCTTTTCAGTTTGATATTTATGAGGGAAGAACTGACAATCTTTTTCATACAGGTTTGTCTTGGAATCAGTTTTGCATCTATTAGTTACACAGCTGTTTCCTTGACACTTATACACTCTGTTTATACCAGTAATGCCTGTGGAACACCTGAAAATGTGTGGCAGTTAGTCTTTGAGGCAACCTAATCATTAAAATTTTTATAAAACCTTAAGTGGTCTTCTTATCAAGGTTTTCAATAATGATCTTTGTCAAGGTTTTTATTCTTATTTGAATACCACATACATCCTATTTTGACAGCAAAGTTTCAGTGTTCCTACCAGAGCACTTATCTGTTTTTCAAGAAATTTTTGAGGGAAATTTTAAGTAGGATCTCCAGTCTATGCAAAGGGTGAGTTCTCTTCTGGAATTAAATCTCCTGCTGTCCTGCTTATACTAGTGGCTGTAGGCTCCCCTTTTCCAAACATCTCTCCTAGTAGCCTTGTGATGGTAAATGCACTGCAGGCATCTGGAAAAGGCATCTTATGAAATCATTTACTCTTGGTACCACTTTAGCCTAAGGCTGTTTGTATATTTCTTATTCAAAGAAATTATCTTCAAGAGAATGAAATGTCTCATAGCTACAAGTATTTTGATTATTCAAGGAATATTTTTATCCAAAGTGAAATGTGGCTAGAAGGAAAGACTGGGATACTGCCGAGGACAGTAAAGAATAGTAGAGGGATTTTAGACATATGTTTTATTGCATGGAATTTGCCATAAGTGATAGTGATTGTAACAAATATGCTGGAATGTGAAATGTAGCTCATCTTTTCAGTATATTCCAGTTCAAATTAAAGAAGTAAAGACTAGATTTTATTTAGTAATTTAGGGAGTCTTCTAAATATGTCTGTGCCTCTATTGCCCCAAAACTCAGCAAACATAATGGTGTTATCTATGTTAACAACCATGATGAATAGTATGCATAGACTTAGACATTTAGGGGAATATGATATAAACAAATGTAATCACATAATAGTCTTTAAAATACTCATCCTAAAACTTGGTGCTATGGTGCTGAGGAAGGACCTGCACTGAAATTTGTACATTTTTGATAAGTCCCCTCCCCCAGCAGGGCATCTAAGATTGATTAAGCTGATGATGCCCAATTTTACATTGATTACCCCACCCATTCTGCTCTCTTGATCTCAGAATCAAGAGGATTGTCCATTATTAACTGTGATGTTAGATTTGTATTTTAACATGAACGTTATAAATCCCAGGAAATTTGTTTGGCTCTTTGAAGCTGGTTGATTTCCTACTCAGCCGCATTTACCACTACTTATTTTTTTCATTCTTTTGTAGAGTGAATAATTTTGACCTCCTAGCACATAGTACAACCCTTTACAGAGAGCACTCACTTCAGCAAAAATGAGTTCTGGCAGCTATGGTAGAGAGGTATAGAAATATGTCAACTTGACTACCAAATACTCTTGAAATTATGTGTATTTTAAATGAAAAACCAGCTTTAGGACTTCCCTGGTGGCACAGTGGTTAAGACTCCGTGCTCCCAATGCCAGGACCCTGGGTTCCAACCCTTGTCAGGTAACTAGATCCCATATGCATGCCACAACTAAGGAGCCAGCAAGATGCAGCTAAGGAGCCCGCCTGCCGCAACTAAGACCCAGCACAACCAAATAAATAAATAAGTTTTTTAAATGAATAAATAAATAAATGGACAATCAGCTTCTTTGAGATACATTTTCTTAAAAAACCAAAAAGCACTGTTTTGTGATATAGTATCTGTTACCTGCATTGGGACAAAAATGAAAGAAAGGCTTTTGAAAGAAATCAGTCTAAGGAAAATGAGAAGTTACTGCCTGCAGTAATTTAAGACAGTTTAAATTGTCATGCCTTGTTGCTTCAATTTTCTTTGTGTTAGCGCTGTAGAAGGGCTCATCATCATTGTACTCATCAAACACTCCCCAGCGGTGATGGGCCCACTCATGAACGAATAGTCTACCTGTGGGAAAATATTCCAAATACATGATTATATTTCAAGTGACATAATCCATCCCTCATATATTTTAAGAAAATTTTTAAAAATCCAGAATGTTTAGGCTTTAAATAACTGCTAACATTTATATTTTTGTTTATAAAAAGCATACTGAATTACATTTCATTTTATTAATTATATAGTTTTTAGCATATTATTTTTTATTCCACATTTGTTAAGTCAATGAAACATTTATTATGTGTATGCTATGGGCAGAACAGATTGAACTTTGAGTTTTGGTTCTTGGGGGGCAAAAAGTCTTAGATATTACAGTGGTTTTTGGCTCTACAAAACTCACTCCTACCAACAACATAAACATATGTATAACACATCTGTGGTATTAAAATTTCATGAAGGTACAATTAGTTTTAAAATGTCTATATATGCTCCGTAGGAGATTGATAATGAAAGAAAAAGATTGAAAAACACTGCTATAGACAAAATATAATTTGGGTGGGTGTCTAAATAAGGTGATTAATTTATAGTACTTAGCACATATAAGCATTAATGAAATGAAAACAATTGTTTTTAATTATATATATTCAGCACTATACTGGATTCTAGGAAATATACATATGAGTAAGATATAATCCTTGACTAGGATAAGGTTAGAGAGAGGGAGTCAGAATTAAAATTTTTCTTCCCTAAGAATTCAGGGTGAATAGAAGAATAAAGAATTTCATCCTTGAAATGCAGGATGAAAAAATAAGTACATTTTTTGTTTTAGCAATATTAGGAAGAACTTCAGCAGAAATAGAGATGGAGAAGTAGAAGTTGGAAATATAGTCTGGTCCACTACAATGTGTGTTTCTCCAACTCAGATTACCTCATGAGATCTGAAAATTGGAGGACAGTGTCAGTATTATGAAGAAGTCATGTTTCTTCTTTAAGTCATTGCTACCCAAAATGTGTTCCTTGCACCAGCAGTGTCAGCATCACATGGGAGCTGACAAGAAATGCAGAATCTTGCGTCTACTCTAGACCTATTGACTCAGATTCTGCTTATTAACAAGATCCCTAAATTATTCCTCTAAACATTAACGTTTAAAAGCACTGTTTTTAGGTTCCTAGGCAAATGGGGCCAGATGAGTGAACATGAATTATATACACCCTTCAGTGTGGGAGGAAAAAGCTCTCGTATCAGCTACAGTGATTGGAATTTGGTGAATTTTAAGAAAATTTAAATCCGCCTGAACCTGTGGTTCCTTTTTTTAGAAGAGTCCACTCTCAGACTGGCTTTCTTTTCAGCTTATGACAGGTTGCCTGGCTCCCATGCCCTCCTCAGTTTGCTGAAAGAAGAGAATTCAGGTGCTCTGACCACACATACAAAAAGGTAACTATGTGAGGAGATGATATGTTAATTAGCTCAACTGTAGTAATCATTTCACTATGTACATGTATAGCAAATCATCATGTTGTACATCTTAATTATATATAATTTTTATTAAAAAAGCAACACCTCTGACTTAGAATTCCATTCCTATCTCAATCATTGTCTCAGTTCCTACTAGCCCTGTTCTCACTTCCAACACCATTTCTGTGTGTGTGTGTGCCTGTGTGTCTGTGTGTGTGTGAACTTTTAATATCTTCTGTGGAGGCAGCTTGCAGCCACACTGAACTGCTGCTTGGATAGTCCAAAAGATCTTTCCAGGGACCTATTGTTTTTGTTATCATTTTTATTACAAATACATAGATTTTGAGGAGTTTCTTCTTCATCTTATTTCCCCCCAAAGCCTTGTTGTTCTTAAGGCATTGTTTTGCATAATGTGAGTTTTCCCACAAACACATGTATCACATTATGGCAGAAACACTTGTCTAAGAAGGAAGGGGGGAAACTGTCAGTTATGGGATAAGGGCTGAGGTGAGGGGTATGGCAAAAGAATAAGAACTCCAGTAGGGGCATTGGCTTTAGAAACTGAAGAAAATCTTCCTCTTCCAAGACAGGTGGAATTGGAGGGAAATGAAGGTGGACATGAGTTTGGGAGTAGAGAGGAAGAAGGAAGGGACCTCTATTTTCTCAATCAAGGCATCCGTTAACTCATGAGGTGTAAAACACTGGCTAGTGATCTTAAGAAAAGTGGTAGAGGTTTAGAACAGCTGCTATGGGGAATGAGAAAGCGAGAGGAGAGAAGGCAAGTCCAATCATTGTTGAGTAGATTTGAGGACTTCACTGAGCTTGGAAAATGTGGTGTTTTTTAAATATACCAATTAAGTTTATAATTTTCTTTCACAGTCTTGGAAACATATTAACAAGAGTCAAAAAAAATGACTGGAAATTCAGTACAGACAATTGGCAAGTTGAATAAAACATAAGGATAAGAATGGTGAGGGAGTTGTGCTATTTATACTTGTAGCTGACATGACTGACTTTGCTGGATATGTCAGGTAGAAAAGAAAGTATATCTAGAAGGGCACAAAGGATTAGAGGTGGCAAGTACAACAAACATGGTCAGACTAAGGTATGGGGGAGAGGTAAGATTGTGATGGGATAGGATGATGGAGCTTTTAGGATTGGGTCCAGGCAATGTTGAGGACCATGACTAGCTGACTGTTTGACAGAGATAAGAGACTTCATGAATGTTCGCTGAAGGGGCAGTGGAAGAGGAAGAAGTGGTTCTGGGGTGTGCAGATTCAGGAGGGCTTTCATTGAGTAGTGACGTATGAGTTGGAGTCTCCTTTGACAATAATTTTCATTTTCGTCTGAAAAATATTGTGCTTTAAGTTCATTTGAAACAATGATCTTAACTCTTAGATTGAACCAGATGAAACTGCCATTTTCATAGGTAAAAACGATCACTTATAGACAAGTTCATCTGGTTCAAAGAATGGATTGAATAATAGTATCAACAACTAACAGCCTGTGAGCGTTTTCTCTTGGCCAGGAACTATCATCTTGGCCCTTTTCAGCTTGCCACGAATCTGCCTTCCATGGAGGTGGCAGGTGATTGATTAATATCCAGCAGTGGAGAACTGAAAAATTAAAACCTAAAAAGTGTTCCTAAAGCAAAACATTTACTATGGCCATCCCATGTTCAAATTTCTGTAGCGACCATACTGAGTACAATTACAAGGATGATCTAGTTTAATATTCCCAACATTTCTATAAGATAGGAGCTCCTCTACTCACCATTTTTTAGGAAATAAGCACAGAGAGGCTGGGTCACTTGTCCAAGGTCACCCATAGCTGTAGGAGAGTCAGGATTTGACCCTAGGGACTATGGCTCCAAGGCTTGTATACTGAACATGGATATAAAGCTGCATGTTGGAATCATGGCAAAATATTTTTTTTAACCAAAATTCCTACCTGATGGTCCAAATTCATTTTGTTTTTTTCCAAGTACAAAGTCAGGGGTGAAGTGAATGTATTCTCCTTTTTCTTCACAGGCTGTGAACTGCTTGGTATATGGCTCATCTCTACCTGGGAGGGTAGGTGGTGAGACTAACACATCAGCCTGAAAATGTTTAAAAAGGTGTTTAAAACATCAGAATAGGAATGATAACATTTGTGTGAAAAACTCTGAACTGATTAATTTAGGTCAAAATTGACAAGCAGCAGAGAAAATATTTTTAAGAGACACTTTTTGAGTCTTACATGTTTGTAACTTTCATGCTTTGGCCTCTTGTACTGAGTGATGTTCTTCCAATTCTCTGGAATTAATATTGATACATTTTTGAAAAAAAATCTTTTTTCTGTGGCTTCAAACAGATAAGTAGATGCTGCAGTCACCATGTCCTATTATTATAGGAAAAAAGAGAAGTGAGGATGGCCAAGGGAGAGAAGACTAAATGAACAGGCATTCATCACAGGCAATTCTCACCTTTAGTCATTAATACAAAAAGAAACTGACTGGTGAGTAGGGTTTCTGATTCAAAATTTGAAATCTGTCACCTGTCAGTCCAAAATTGTGGCTTAATTCTGCACATTTAACAGCTTTCAGTCTTCTGTAATCCTACATCAAAAGTCAAATACTTATGTTTGGCATTACAAGGAATTGTTTAATATGATAAAGGGCATGGACTTTGGAAGCATCTAGACTTGGTTCCAATACTAGCTTAATACTCTGGCTTAGACCTTGGCTAGTTTATATGACTGCTTTGAATCTCAGTCTCCTTGTCTTCTTAATATACTATTACAACCTATCTTTAAGGTTGCCACAAACATGAAATTAGTTATAAACTACACATAGGCAGTCATAAAACTCACTGATATCATTACTATTATAATTCCTAGTAGGGAACAGCCTTACCTGATGCAAGCTGAGGAAAACAGTTCATGGTGATGGCCCATAGAAGAGATTTTCACTATATTCCCACCTCCCAGCAGAGGCAGCTGGGTTGGGAGCACAGCGAGTGGAGTAGTGGAAAAATTCATAGGAGAGGCAGACCTTTTTGACCATAGGCAGAGCTTCTTGCTCTGCCATCAAGCTGAAAATAATATCACCTTATATTGTTTAGTATCCTGAACCCCAAAATGTTATGATTAATAGGAGAAATAGTTCCTCCAAAGAGCTTATTATCTAGTGGAGTAAATAAATGGATTAAATGTTCTTTGGTAATCTATTCTGCATGATCAAATGCACTGAATAACTGAGGAGTACTGGGTGCTGGATGACGGTGTCAACCTCTTCATGATGCTGGCACCACCACAGTCTACAGTATTGTTTATGTCAAAGTAGATCCTCCTCTCAATTCTTCCTGACCTAACATAAGACCACAATAACATTATTCTTCTTCAAGAATTTCAGGACATTCCTTCCTGTTCTCTGGAAGATGGTCTAGTGTGCTCTTAGTGTATTGAACAGATCATTAAACTGATGAGGCTCAGGGCAGGGATCAGCCAGAAGCCAGAGTGCAGAGGACTGAGACCCAGATGACCGGCTCTTGTTAGGAAAAGGGCTCCCAAAGTAGGTTGGAGGTTACTTCTCAATTGATGATAATTATATTTTTCCAAGTGTTCAGGCCAAAACCCCTGAAGTTTTTTTTGACTCCTACTTTCCCTCCACCCCTCCTCTACTCCACACACCTATCAACAAATTTCTCTATGACGCTCTTAGAATGTGTCCAGAATCACAACACAGTAATGATCTCTACCACAATATCCCTGCTTCTATTCAACATTACTTCTCACCCTTGAAGCCTTCTGTGACTTCTATTTTTACCTCCTCCCCTCCCCTACCCCACACATCTAAACCATCAGCAAATTTGCCTATGATAACCTCACAAAGAACATGTTCAGAATCACACCACATTAATGATCTCTACCACAATATCCCTGTTCCAAGTCACCAGCACTTCTCACTTGCAACAGCTTCCGACCCAGTGTCCCTCTGTACCTCTATGCTGCAACAGAGCTTATACAGGATGAAGGGACAAAGGAAAGCCCTCTACAGTGTTTCCTCAAACTGCTGACAGAGTGACTCCAGAACAAGCACAAGAGAACACACCTCTTCTCTTCTATGGATTCTGATTTCACTCAGAGTAAAAGCCCAAATATTTCCGATGGTCTGGGCCCTGCTACCTCTCCACCTTCAGCTCTCCCCCACCCTTCTTCCTGCTCATTCACAGTTGTTTCCTTGGTCACATCAGACATGCTGTCACCTCCAAGCCACTGCACCTGCTGTTCCCTCCCCCAGGTTTTCAACTGGCTCTTCCAGGCCTCCGCCCCGATGTAACATCAACAGTGAGACCTTCCCTGACTACCCTGCATGAAACAGTAACCCACATTTTCTCCCTACTCCAGTCCCGCCAACACTGCCTATCCCCCTTTGCTGATTTATTGTACTGCATAGCAACTTACTACTGTTGGCCTGCTCTATGTTGACATGTTTTTATTATCTATATCATCTGAAAAGAATATATACTGCAGGAGATCGGGAGCTTTAAAAAATTTCACTGCTCTCTCTCCTGGCATGCCATAAGCGAGCATTCAATAAATAACTGTTTAAAGAACAGACAAGTCCAAGCGATTGTCTTCCCAGTTCAGTTCACCCTGCTGCTGCTTCTCACCAGAAGGGTGGGAGGTAATTTCCCCTTTTCGGTTCGTAACATTTGATAGCAACGGACTTAAAACAAAGATTCTCTTTCTTTGATCCCCTTTTCTTTCCTCCAAAACAAAGTTTCTCTTTCTTTGATCCCCTTTTCTTTCCCTCCTGCAGTGTGAAAAGAGATTGTGTTTGTCAAAATAAATGGCACGGGGACTATAAACATTCCCTGTACTCCAGACATTTTCTGAGGCTGAATTTAAGCAGTAAAGGTGTACTGCAGTGAAATTGTGTGCTGAGGACCACCCTGCAAACTGTGTTTGAGAGACATTAATGAGTTGCATGTAGGCCTGGAAATATGCTAAATATTCAGAAAACGTTATAGTATATCTGAAATAAAAGTAAACTTTCATCCAAAAAAAAAGAACAGATAAATCCAGTTGCTAATTTACAGATTAAGAAACTGAGGATCAGGGAGACCCCATGCCTTGTCTTTGGTCTTATGGTGAGACAGGGTAGAACGCTGTCTAGAACCTTCAATTTCCACTGCCCATTGCAGCATTGTTTTTTACTTCACCATGCTGCTTTTAAACTTCCTAGAGTGCTGAGAAGTTTCCATTGCAATTATTAAGTACTATATATTTTTTCTCATCAATTCAAACAGAAGAAATCCCATTTCTTTCTTACCTTTATCTGTTGAATTAGTGTTTCATCTTCTGGCACAACAGGGTCTATAGCAATGATAATGCCCTCGTAGCCATTATTATCCAGCCGAACAAGGGAAGTATTGGACCCCTGCAGCAGGTATAGGACCAAGAGGAAGACAAAACTTCTGAATAACCCCATTGTTCCTCTTGAGTTGTTCCCGGCCCCAATGTTGTTCAAGAAGCTTTTCTTTCACCTTTAATCTCTCTCTATATATATATACTCGTAGACATTGTCAACGTTGGCTGATTATGGAACATTGTGTAAAGGTCAGCGTTACATATGTGGGAAAATATTTGGCTTCAGTTTACACAATCGTTTTATTGTAAAAATGATCTGAATCATAGAAGAGTTCAGATCTTTTAATAAAATACATTGCACATATTCCTTTGGGGACATATTTTCTATACTTTCTAATTCTAGCTAATTTCCTCTGTATAGACATATATTTTGTATTTTCTGAAGAGTGCAATGTGAAAATGAACAAAATTTCATAATGATATTAATAGAAACAATACTGCTAATTTTGTTATTCAGTTTTACAGAGTGATTTAATTATTATTTACTAACAGTATAAATAATAGAAGAGAATGTAAGATTACTAAATGTAAATAATGCCAAATTAGGTAAGATGGCTTTGAACCCTAATTTAAATTTTTTTTTTTTTTTTTTTTGCCATACGCGGGCCTCCCACCGTTGTGGCCTCTCCCGTTGCGTAGCACAGGCTCCGGACGCGCAGGATCAGCGGCCATGGCTCATGGGCCCAGCTGCTCCACAAGCATGTGGGATCTTCCCGGACCGATGCACGAACCCGTGTCCCCTGCATCGGCCGGCGGACTCCCAACCACTGCGCCACCAGGGAAGCCCTAATTTAAAATTTTTTTTTTTTTTAATTTTATTTATTTATTTATTTATGGCTGTGTTGGGTCTTCGTTTCTGTGCGAGGGCTTTCTCTGGTTGCGGCAAGTGGGGGCCACTCTTCATCGCGATGCGCGGGCCTCTCACCACCGCGGCCTCTCCCGTTGCGGAGCGCAGGCTCCAGACGCGCAGGCTCAGTAATTGTGGCTCACGGGGCCAGTCGCTCCGCGGCATGTGGGATCTTCCCAGACCAGGGCTCGAACCCGTGTCCCCTGCATCGGCAGGCAGACTCTCAACCACTGCACCACCAGGGAAGCCCACCCAATAAGGTTTTTTAAAATTGAAAAAAGGGAGTCAGGATTGGAGTTATAATATTGACTTAAGAATGTCTAATCCTAAAGGAAAGGAGCTGGGACTCATCAGAAACCCAAAAGAGAACTAAAAATAAAATAGTAAAAAATATCTTTAAATTAAGAGCTTAAGTAGTAGGATATCTATGTTGCATTCTGAACAGGCAAGAGATTTTATCAAGGTAGAAATTTTATCATTTAACATTCCATCCCAAATTCTCCTCTTCTCAGGGAATTTAGGTGAACAATGCTGAATTCCCCAGGGAGAGTCAGACTTCTGATTACCATGGTGACACAGAGGTCTCCTGTCATGGGACTTTTAAATCATGGGTGAATCACATGGCAAGACAGTAACAGCCAGGTTTTTTCCTTAAGAGAAGAGGATTTGGATTGTTATTATTGAGGCAGGCATATAGTCTGTGATTTCACTTTTGATTTCCTGGAAGGAATGATATTTGTAATATCTTCATTTTTAAAAAAAATGAAAAGAGCTTCTTTCTGAGTTGTAAAGCTGAGTTACTTACCCTTATGTAATGTCCTGAAAGCAAAATTGTATTTCTGTTAATATGAGTTATTCACTATTAACACAGAACTTAGGGTATAAATAGGTTGGAATTCCTCCTTTGATACTGTTTCTTCCTCATTTTTTGGATCTCCCTATCCACAGTGTGTGTATTCTGTTCTAGATTCCTTGTGCTAAGCACACATTGATCAGAATCCTTTCCTGCCCTCTAGAGCCAGATCTGGAAACCAGTCTCTCTTTGCCCACTACAAGTGCCCAATTTTTGTGAGGTTGTGGTTCCCTCTGTACCTAGTTAGGTAAGTATCTGCTTTGCAGACAGTGTTTTGGGGATAGTGGAGGAAGTACCCTTCTGAGTTCAGACTTGGAGAGAAGTATTAGAAATCACAGCTGTGGCTTCAGGTCAAGTCATATTTCTTAGTCCAGTTTCACCACTGATCTAGCCAATATTTTGATTATCTGTCTGACTCCTATCTATTAGTTCCAACCTCTGAAAAGGAAATGGCTGGGTGTGTGTGTGTGTGTGTGTGTGTGAATGTGTGATTTTAAAGCCCCAAACATTAAATAGGGAACAATATAAAATCACATATTTGTATATGTTCTTGGAACATTCCTCCATTAAGGGGTTCTTATTGGCCCTTCTTCCTACTTAGTGACTAGCTTTCCCCTTTCTTTCCTCACTCTCCGCTTCTCACTCGTTCCTTTCAAGATTGTAAATTCTTGGAACTCCAAATACTTTTTCTCTCTACTACTTTACTACTTTAATACTTTACTACAAAGTAGTATATTAGCTCTCTCCTGCTCCTGCTCCCAAACTTGTACATTTAAACCTGTTAAAGAGAGATATTTATGGTTATAAAGAGCTATGTAGTCTTACATAAACAAAAGGAAGTCTGCCTTGCTACAGGTTCTCCACGTGGAGATGGACAGTCAGAGATGATTTCATTTTCTCTCATTGTGAGAGAACCTATGCCCTGTTCAACTAATCTCTTTACAGTGATAACCATATGGTATAAAGCCCTCAATTTTTTGAACATTTGTTCATCTCATAATAAGCAGTTTGGTAGCCTTCTTACAGAATTCTTAGCCACCAGATTTTCCAGCTTCAATTCCTCTTGCACATCACCAAATTATCTCATGTACAATGCCATCTTTCCCTTCTCTAATTCTTCAAGAGAGTATCATTACCTTCAGGTTGGCACGATCCTTTGCTATTCAGAATGCATCACAATCTGGTCAATTTATATCAATAGTTTCCATTTTATCTTCCAGTACTGCCTAGAATAAATCTTTCCCTCTAATCCATAAGATCTACTCATATTTTGTGAAAAATTACTTTTACTTTCTATTATGATATCCTTGACCACATTCATTTTTCAAATAATTCAATATCTAGCTCAAATTCTGCTTCCTATGAAGGTTTCCCTGACCAATCCCTCCTGTCATTTCCCTTCTCTGAACTTCTGTAGGCTTTGAATAATAACACGGTTTCCTACACAGGAAATCCTCCAAATTTCAGAATTTAGGGGTTGAGGTTTTGAATATCCTCATAATGTAATTTTAGTGCTGGAAGGTACCTGAGACACCATCTAGTTCAACCACTGATATTATGGATGACAATACATGTCCTAGGAAGGTAAGTGACTTAGTGACAAAACTCCAACCAGAACATCTGATTTTTGCCCAGTGTGACCTCCTTTCATGGCTTCCTGCTCGCCAACACTGAACCAGTCTTTCCTTACTCTCCCTGGCTGCTGCTGCTGTTGCTATTTGTTACACCAGCTATACTCTGAGCTCAAGGTACCCATTTCTTTTTAGGAGTCATAAAGTTAGCAGATGCTACAGAAATATTGTAACATATGACTCCTAAATTAAAAAATTTCTCATTGTGTAATCAGAAGAATTGGAAGAGCCATAAGGAGAAAAAAATCCTTTGAACAAAATTGCTTTAAACAGAAAGTTTGTCCAAAGAATTTTATGCCAGGAACAAGTACTCACAGATTCATCTATACATAGTGATCTCTATAATCCATTCTTTTATATATATGGAATCCTATAAGGATCAGGGAGAACTAATATTTACTGAGCACCCATGTCAGATACTCTTATTGTTACTTTACATTATTAACTCATTTAGTCTTCATGATTACGCTTTTTAAATTTTTATTTATTTTTATTTTTTTAAAAATTTTATTGGAGTATAGTTGAGTTAAAATATTGCGTTAGTTTCTGCTGTACAGCAAAGTGAGTCATGAGATAGGTATTATCTTCCTCCTTCTACAAATGGTGAAACAGAGACCAGAGGTGTTAATATAGCATGATGTCTACATCATGCTATGGGTAGTTATATTTTGCCTGCTTGGTTACACATTGGGGTATGGTAGTGGACACTGTTAGTGCTCTACTCCGACTTCCTCATATCTCTTTACTATTCCTGTATACCTCTTCTCTCTGTGTCAGGGGACTTTCTCAGTGGCTCACACTGGCAACTCTTCTCTGGAGGATAGCACTCAGGCTACATGAGCTGCTTTGTCTGTTTATGCAAAGAGCCAGTGGTAGCTTACATCATACAAGGTGGTCCTTAGTCAATGACTGACAAGTGCAGGGATGTGAAATCTTAGTGCCTTTGCTTCAGGTTGGGACAAGTTCTGAAGTGTAACTTATACATTAGAGCTCCCTGTGGGAATCAACCTGAAACAACCACCAAGGGACTCTACCTGTAATCAACGCCCCACTTGGCTTCTTTTCTTTCCTTGTTCTGGTTTCTCTCCTCCCTTGCCATTTTTTCTTTGAGAACTTCCTTAATAAATTGCTTGTGCATAAATCCTTGTCTCAGGGTTTGCTTTTGGTGAATTCATTCTAAGATACAGTGTCATGTCTTAAATTCTCAAATAATATTTATTAAACGCTTACTATATGCCAAGCACTATGTGACATTCTTTAAATCTGTTAACTCATTGAATCCTCATAAGAACCCCATGAGTAGATACCATTTCTCATTTTACAAATGAGAAAACTGAGCCTTAATAGCTTCCTCAAAGTCACCCTGCCAGTAAGTGTCAGAACCAAGCTGAAACCCTGGTGTGACTCCAAGCCATATTCATAACCCCTATGATGTACTCCTCGAGAACACATCATTTCACCTGGTAAGGAAGCCAACTCATAGTCAACCCCACCATCTGTGGAAGAGTACAAAAACAAATGATAAAAATTCTAGTGCAAAAACCAAATTATCACATATTTTACAATTTTCTTTTCCTAATCAAGAAGATCTAGATTTCTGTAACTGGGGAGAGCAAGAAATCTTGTATGGGCAAAAAATATTATATAACATGTCATATAGTCTTTAGACTAGTCCCTTGAATATTTATGGAGTATGCTTTGCGATAAGCTCAGAAGATAAAAAAAGTGCTTTCCCTTAAGGAATCCACAGTTTAGTGAAGGAGACTGACCTAT